TCATATTCGGAAAGTTTAGAAAATTCTATCACCATTTCTCCTTCTTTGAAAGACATAAGTAAATACACTACATAGATTTTTCTAGTTTTAAAGGCCCTAGGCAAAACTTTATTAATTCACCCTGAAAATATAAAGCCATTAAATTTTGTCTGGGTAGAATAAATCCCTGTGGCCTCCTTTGAAGCAATGTAGGTCTCTGATGCCCATGGGCACATCTGTGTCCCAATCCACAAGAGATAGGACCAATAAACAAGGAATGTGCAACCTCTTCTTTCTCCTTGGAAAGAAGGAAGCATTCCCTTGGGACAGTGGGCACACGCTGTCTTCTCCCTCCTGTCGTCCCTCTGTGTCATTTTTTTTTTCTAAATTCATTTCATAGGCAGACTCAGAATACCTGAGTCTGAAGATATCAGGATAACACTTGTAAATGTGTGACAATCACTACACTGTCCCATATCTAAGATTTTTTTAAATGCCATTTACCCACTAACACTATTGTGCATTAGTCCTGCATAATCCTACAACTCTAGGGAAGAATTAAAATGTTTGACATATCCTAAGATTCCTTTCCGAGGTCAAAGCAAGATATCCTGCTCCATGATCAAGAGACATGTATTTTAGTAACATCAGATGTATTTTCCTCTTTTCTCTTCTCTTACCAAATAGTTACTCTCCCCACACTCTAGGTTTAAAGTCTAACCCCTTTTTTTCTAGAATAAGGGATACAAGAAGATGATGAAATGTTGGAACAATTAAACATCCCTGGCCATTTTTCTCCAAAAGCCCTTTGTATTCTAGAAGATCTGGGCAATCTTTTCTTTTATCCACATGACACTGTGAGCCTAGGCCTGACATACTGGGAGGAGAGATGAGTATCAGGACGTCCCATCAAGAATTAAGCAAAGTGTACATCTTCTTTAGCATGAATTAGACTGGGGTGGAGGGGAAGGGCTTGGAGGAAGGAGAAAAAGAGGATTGTATTTGAATAAACGTGAATACATTTCTTAGATACTTTTCACAATCAGACAGCTCCCCCCAAAAGGTTATTTTCTGTCTTTCTAAGGATGTAAGCCTTACTGAAAGCAAATCTTAGTCACAAATTTGAGGAGATTACCCCAGCATAAGTTTACACGGATTTAAACTGAAAAATTGTTAACCACTCTTTTGCTCTAAGATGTGTGAGGGCCGTTCAGGACAGAAGGGGCCTGGATAGATGCACAAACAAGTATGTGTATATTCGGAGCCCCACACATTGTAATAAACACAGCTGCATTTATTTGAGTATGTGATCCCATGTACATGTAAGAACACTCAAACACACTCAGCTTCTATATTTGATGGTGCAATGGGACGATTATTCAAATAAACATGCTCGGTGCAATTATTTGAATCTCACATTGTGTGTTCATCAGTCACAGCATTAATAAGAAGGAGGGGGAACAACACCAAAGAATTTACGTGGGAAAACATATATATGAAAACAACCTTATTGTAGATTTTATAGGGTTTGCCAAAGTGATGGCTCCCTTCTTAACTGTAACTGAACTATTCTGAATTCAATGACATTTGTTTCTAATGATTAATTGACTTATTCACTTGATCATTATATCAGAATGACCACAGCATTTGGATTCATATAATTATGAACTTTGCAAACCTGAATTGGGTAGAGATGTGAAATACCTATATTTCAAGTGCAGACTAGTTCTTTCTAGACATCTTACGTCAATGGGACTCTGGTCAAGTTATTATCACTTTAAATACCACTCCCATCAATTAAAGATGTTTTATACATGCAACTAAACATTCCTACATTTGAAGACATAAAAAAATCACAAGTGACACATCTGATCATTTTATATATTAATAAATATGACATATATGTGAACACATCACAAATCATATAGGTGTACCAAGAGGCAATTTATGGCCTCCCTTAAGTATGTACTGACATAACCTAATATACTAAAATGGGAAGGGGCGTTTAGTCACTGAAATATGCATCGTGTAACAAAGATGAAGAAAATACATGGCTTGTGCCCATCATAAAAAAGACTCCGACTGAAGGCTTAGCTTTGGTTTTTATTCAATTAAATTGTTAAACTGTGCACAGTGATTTTTTTTTAGAACTTGAGACATTTGTGATGTTGGCTGTTTAAATCTTTGTTACCTTCGCTGTGAATTGAAATTGTACATATTTAGTAAATCATGCAGACAAAACAAACTTTTTAGACAATATTTTTATTGGAGAGTTTTCTTTTCCTGTATCCATGTTAAAAAAAGAAAAAAAGAAAAAGACCTCCTTTCCCAAAATAAAAATGTCGATACTAAATTCAAAGAAATATAAAGGAATGATTGCTTCCTTTAAAGCTAAATATTTAAATAAACATGGAGATAATTGGCAACATGTTCTTTTGGCTAATAGGCCGTGTCCAATTTTTTGGGTCTGATGTTTCAGAGGGCCTCTGTTTCAGGGTTGAAGATGATATATTAATCTCTGAATTAAACGAATGCTATTCAATAACAGAAATAAATCCCTCAGTCTTCATTTATGTATATGAAACATGGAATTAAATTCAGAGACATGACACTGAGATAATATGATGCTGAATATGACACAGACTAAAATTCCCTCTGTTAAAACAGTCATCTACCACCTATAATCTAGCATGACATGTTACAATGCTCCAAATACTGAAAATATAAAATGAACATTACTGCTCCCATTTGGCCTTGAGATGAACATGACAAAGATTCTAATAATTTTAGTCAAAGAAAATGATGAGTAAAAAATACATGAAGATTAAAGTGATGACAAATGATCTTTTAAGTATTCTAATTGGTCTTTCTCCTTCAATTCTTTGATTCTACAGAAATTGCAAATCCTGATGATTCCAATTTGTAAATGCACCCAGCCCGCTTTCTCTCTTTCACTCAACAGAATCTGCCTGTTAGATTTGGAACGAAGACTAAGCCCCCAAAATGTTAAAAATAGACTACTGCCCTGGCAGGAAATTTAGCATTGGCAAGCACAGAACTCAGAAGGAACTGATCTAACATAAGGAAATATTCAGAGAAAGATCTGTGCATTATAATCCTGTTCTGACCGTTTTCAGAGCAGTCAACGTGGGGGTGGGGGGAGATACTGTAGCAGGTTTGCTAACTTTGTATGTAAACTTGAATAGCTAGCATTAAAAAGCAACAATACCCAAGAGATGGAAGGAGCCTGGATGAAGTGCTTTTGAGACATTATTATATTGTTATCTTACACAAATGGAAACCACTTAAAAATGCTGGTACTAGAAAATTAGAATGTTCTGAAGACAGCACCACAAAAAAAAAATTATAAAACTTATAAGATATGCTAACAATATAACAGATAAAATGATGACTTATCTTTATTCTTTTTTTAACATTTTTTATTGATTTCAGAGAGGAAGGGAAAGAGAGAGAGAGAAATAAAACATCAGTGATGAGAGAGTCATTGATCGGCTTCCTCCTGCATGCCCCCACACCAGGAATGAAGCCTGCAACCTGGGCATGTGCCCTGACAAGGAATTGAACCGTGACCTCCTGGTTCAGAGGCCGACACTCAACCACTGAGCCATGCTGGCCGCACTCTTTATTCTTTTTATAGGACACTTAGATTCTAGTCTATGACCTTTCCTTAAAGGGGAATCTTTTTAATCCATTCCTACAAGAGTCTTATTATAAGGCAAAGAATTACACTTACATTCCATTTTAGTTTTGTTTAGGGAAAGAGGAATACAGTCTTCGAATTACCTGAAAAAAAATAGAGATGAATAAAAGAATATAAATTTAGAAAGGAAACTTAAGAACATCCCTACACTCACAGAAAGCATGCTGGTGTATTTTAGTGACCACAAGCAACCTAGACCTTGGTTTTTACATCTCTTCTGAAAGATACCACTTCCAACACAAACAATATTTCCCAACCCTGTAGTGCGGCCTGGGATTGGTGCAGACGAGAAGGGAGAATACCAGCTATTGAATAACTCTCAACCACTTCCTGCAGTCCTGAAACATTCGGTGGAGGTCTACCACTTCATTATTGAATGTACTTAGAAAGTGTAAGCTCCTAGGTTTCCGGCTGAAGAGACGTCTAAGCAAGAGGGGAAAAGGAGAAGTACAAACCATCCTACCCAAAGTGTTTTAACTCTTCAAATGCCACTGCTGGAGAGAGTGGGCTTGAGAATAACCAGCCAACCATCTAAGTAGACACCTTTTTTTCTTTTTCTTTCTGCAATATAAAGTGTTTTTATATTACCAAAGATAAATGCATGAAAAAGAGCGTTTCACTCACTTTAAAATCAATAGCAGTGCCCTAGCTGGTTTGGCCCAGTGGACCAAAGGGTTCTGGGTTTGATTCTGGTCAAGGGTACATACCTTGGTTGCAGGCTCCTTCCCAGCCCCAGGGCCTGATCACAGCTCATGCAGGAAGCAACCATTTGATGAGTTTCTTTCACATCACTGTTTCTCTATGCTTTCCCTTTCTCTGCCACTCTCCCTAAAAATCATTGGGAAAAAATATCCTCTGGTAAGAATTAAATTAAACAAACAAACAAACAAATAATAAATAAATAAAAATAAAAGGGTGATGGAACATTTTAAAAATCTTGTCAGAACAAGAAGAGTTCTGACCAAAATAGCTACTTAATATGCACCACCTTGACTTTTAAACTGAAAATTAAAATGATGTTTTGTACAAATACTCTTCCAGGAATTGTCAGGGTCCCTTGAGTCATATGTTTCCACCTGTAAATCAACCTATAGCTATGTTACAAATGTCTTTATGACCTAACTGAATTATAACCTATGTTGTGTCTATATTAAAATTGTCAAAAACCTCCTTCTTGTTCTTCAATAGAGCTCCCCTATGTATTGGGTAGGAGGAAAACCTGAATGTTTGCAACAGTTAGAAAAATAAAAGCCGTTAATCTACCACTTGCATCTTATAGATGAGGAAACTATCATATAAGTCTCCATATCCTTGAGACCACACTGGACATTTGTTTGCTTTTACCCCACAGGGATCTACTATAGAAAGCTGTTAAGCATAGATCGTCAAAAGCCTGGTCCCCTGACAGTGTTCTCTTCAACAAACCCCAGTCAGATGGAAACATCAAAAAGAATGAGTTAGTTTCCCCACTTCCTGTAGAAATTCTGTTCTGGTCCACAAGAATGGAATGAAAATAATCAACTTTGGAAACCCCATATTACTTGAAGATGTCATGCCATCATCTAAGGGCTGTTAAATGCTTCTGGACTGGAGTCTACTGTAATTGAGAGCCAGAGACCTCCTCAATTTTAAAGGCTATTTAAAAATTACTGCTGTTCACACATTTTACCCTCTCATTTTGTCCAAGACTTTTGACAGTGCTTATGTCCATTGAGGAGAGTGGTTCCACTGAATCTCTCCAGCCATAGTTTTCAGCTTGAACCCACTGTGTGAGTCCCCATGTTATTTCTTCTCTAGTCATGGCTTGTCCGAGGCCCACATGCATTGAAGACCAGAGATGGTCAGAGGAAGAAACAGGGCAACAGAGCAGCAGGAACATGAATGGAGCCATTACTCTGCAATGGGAAAGTGGAATAGCCTGAAAGAGAGGAAAAAAAGAGCATGGAGGAACCTTAGATATATTCTCATCTAAAGCCTTGGCTTTAAAAATTCTGGGCTCAGAGAAAATTAAAGCTCAAATCATTGCATAGTTACTGGCAGAGCTGACACCAGGAGCCATGTCTGCAGTTAACGGCATTGATGCTTTCATGCTTCTATCAATGTGTCTGCCACTTCTATTCAGCCGTCCAGTAGGTACAGTAATTCTAAAAATAATGCCAATAGTTAGCAATAGTTACAACATAGACAGTGGTTCAGTTTACTGAGTTCTGTCATGAGTAATGTGTAGTTCAAGATACTGTAGGATGTATAAAGGTAAACAAGACAGAGTTACTGGCCTCAGGTTTCTTATAACCTATCAGGGCAGACATTCACAAAGTTCCAGGGGCCACAGGAAATGAATGCACTGATATGAAAGTCCTAAGAAATTTCTCCTCTATTACTGTGTTTCCTCTATTTAAACACAAAAATGCCTCCGTTCCCTCAATAATACATATACGAGGGAGTGATACTACAGGTAAGGCCCGGCTCTAGGTCCTTGCTGTATGGTGGTAGACAAATAGACAATATCCCTACCTTAAAGGACCTACATTCCAATGGAGAAGACAGAAAACAAAACAGTTACAAAGATCAAGTCACACAATGCTAAGAGTTGTGTTGAAAATAAAAAGTGATGTAACAGCAAATGAAACTGGGGAATAGGCAACCTCCTCCAGGGACTGGGAGGAGTGTACGAGGAAAAGTCTCTCTGAGGCAGTGGGGTTTGAGTTGAGCCTGACGGATGAGAAGAAGTGAAGACCTAGAGGGAGAATGTTCCATAAAGAAGGAACGGAGGGAGGAAGGAATTTGGATTTTTGAGAATAAAAAGGCCAGTCTACCAAAGCATAGTAGAAAAGAGAGGAGGTGGGAGATAAAGTCAGACAGGCAAGAGAACATTTCTCGAGTCACATGAATGACTTACAGTGCGATCACCTGTTAGAAGCACCCAAGAACAACTTTACGGATAAAATTCAGAGAATTTAATATGAGACTGCTTAGGTCAGTGGTCGGCAAACTCATTAGTCAACAGAGCCAAGTATCAACAGTACAATGATTGAAATTTCTTTGGAGAGCCAAATTTTTTAAACTTAAACTTCTTCTAACGCCACTTCTTCAAAATAGACTCGCCCAGGCCATGGTATTTTGTGGAAGAGCCACACTCAAGGGGCTAAAGAGCTGTATGTGGCTCGTGAGCCGCAATTTGCTGATTATGGGCTTAGGTCCTTTGGTCCAATGCTGTGTATTCATGGGTGAGAAACTGAACTTGTATAGGCCCACCCTGTGAGAGTCAGAGAAACTTAGTTTGTTATTTCTAGTGTATAGAAATGTACTTACCAACCTGTCCAGGGCCTATTCCTCATTCCCTCCCCCTCTGACTTCAGAATGAGAGAAATCTCATTTCTCAGATTCTCACAAGACCACCTGCCTTGCGTCTGGTCACAGGCAGATCTGTCAGCCTGGAAAACAGAAACTGTTTGGGCCAAAGAAAGTTTGTATTTTGGAAACGAAAGCACCGCATTCGGCAAACAGGCCTCCACAGTGGCAGGTTCCCCGGAAGCACCTTCCCAGGCAGCTCGCCCTAGTCCCCTGCCCAGTCTGGCCAGCTCGTTCCAAACAGCTGGGCTAGAATCAGGCCTGAGCAAGGGCCCCAGCCCCACCTCCCCTTCCCCTGAACTTCTAAAAACCACAGAAACTCGCGGAGCCGAGAGAGAAGCCAATAAGAAGTAAGG